AAGAAGTAAGAATTATGAGGATAAGAGGGATAGATAACGCTTAACACTTCATTTGAAGAGGTTAAGTGTTCAGTGCATAGGGAAGCACCAACGTAGGTGTCTGTTGCGATCGTTCTTGGGAAAAAAGCTTTCTAGGTGGAATTCTTTTCACACGTTTGGGGTATGGCGGAAATGAAGGTGTTGCCGTGTCCTAGGTTTAAGCGTCTGAAATAGAGGAAGTAAAAATGGTGTTCATCTGAACATTTGTCATGGAAATATCGATTAGAGTATCGCTCGGGTTGCGACATTATGCCTAGGGGGAAAGTGGTTGTAGGGTAGAAATTAAGTTATCTCCAACAAGGCAGCATAAATGATTTTGAACTTTGTGAAGGTATGAACGTGAAGATTGAGTAGCTCCATCCTAGATATGGCAGCATTACACTATTTTTGGTTTGATTTGACTATTGTAAAGTTAAAGCATATCAGTAGAAGTCAGATATGTTCTTGGGCAGTATAAAGATAAAACTAACGGTTAGGAGACAGAGTAAAGTGTATGCCTTGCTTGAAGACATTAGTACAAATTAAACGTAAGCAAACTCGCCAATATTATTTATATTTATTTTAGCAAGTATTGTCAGCTATTTTTTTATTAATAATTTAACGTAGTAGAAAGTGAAACTTGTGAGGTTAAGGCGGACAGATAACAATAAACCCTTAACTTTAAGAAGTTGATATTGAAGTATTCAAGGAATCACTTAAATGGGAGTTTGTCCTAAAATGGACAGTTCTTAAAGACAAAGGAATCGGAGTGAAACTTTCTTCTTATATTTGTTATATAAAGGAAATGAAGATGATTCGATTCTGTAGAAGTAATGTGGTTTGTCTCAGCATTAAAAGGCTGAACAAAAGATTCGAGCTCATCTGAACATTTACTATGGAAACAGTGATAGAGTATGTATAGTTTTGCAATGTTTCATCTGTGGGGAAGAAGATCTAGAGCGCAGGATAAATCATCCCCACATGATTGCATAAATGATATTAAACTTGTGTTACAGAAATTTATTCGATCTAATCAAATATTTTAAAAAGATTTCTGTATTAATTTCTATGTCGAAATATTTTTACTATTCAATGACAACAAGATAATTCTCCCGCTTTTATTATCAACGGAGTTAGACAGTTTGGCTTGGTTTGTTTTGTTTTTACCGCATACCAACCGCAATGGGTTATTTAATATCAACAAGATTTTTATTGCAAAAATGTATTGTTGGTAATATTTTATTCAAAAATGTATAGCTTGTAAAATTTTTTTTCAAAAAAGTATTGCTGGTATTAAAAACTATTTTTTATACTTTCATAGTGTTTTGATCCTTCCTTTGGGGGAGTGTAACTATTTGCCAATAGCTGGGACAGGTGCTACCACCGCGAGTCAAGGTGGGCCTGAGAACACCAGCAATTAAGAGGTGGTCTAACGCTCCTCAAAACCACGTGATTAGAGGCCTTGCTGTTGTATGTAGTTTATTGTCATACCCAGGACGATGGAGTTAGGCAAACCGTATTTAATAAATGGACTGAACGAAAACAACAAAAAATAAAAAAAATAAAACACAAATTAGAATGGGAGACTGAAAGATTAATGGAATTCTTAGATACATTTCGTTTGCTGCTGACCAATTTGGCAATATCTGCTTGGATTTCTGCGACGGGGAGTTATTATATAGATTATTTACATGCGGACTATGGTCCTCATCTTTGTTATTATTACACCGAATCATCCGGCGCTTATCGATCCAGATAACATTCAGGGAACTTCGAACTGAACACTTTATGTAATCTACGGGGCTAGACTGTTCTCGTTACAATGAACATGTTCCTGGAATATATATATATATATATATATATATATATATATATATATATATATTGAACCCCAAGGAAAGCAGGAATGCCAGTAGCACGCAAGGGGTTACAGAGAGTGAAAGCAAGAGTAAAGATGGGTGTTTGAGGAAAGAATATAAAGAAGGACGGCGATCAGAATCAAGACATAAGAAGATGTCGATTACATTTGAATATATGCTATCAGAGAAGCAAATAAAAGGAAGGGAGTTATACTGCCGGGAAGTGCGAGATAAGAAGCTGTTGGAGTAGAAGAGACGGTTACATTTAACTGTTTTGACAGTGATAGGTTGGGACCGAGATGCCAATCTTGTAGCACGCTTTAATTCATGCATTTGGGGCAATGGTGAAAATAGCTCGTCAGAGCAGTTGCCTGGAATATATTTGTAGAAAAGACAGAGGGAAGCCACATCACGTCTGTGAGAAAGTGACTGTAGTCGAGATGCCAGGCCAGGACCTATCACATTGCTTATCCGTCTTTGAATTTTGTCGAGCACCTCGAGTTGAACAGCGCGGGGCACCAGACCATATATGGCAACAGTATTCAATGTCATGACGAATAGTAGATTTGTAGATTTGAGTGATGGACTCAGACGAGATAAGCATTCTGGCGTGACACCAACTTTCCTTGCGTTAGATGAAGCTAAATGTTGGGAAGTGCAAGAGAAGAAGCAGTTGGAGTAGAAGAGGCGGTTACATTTATCTGTTTCAACAGTGAAAGAGTAGGACCGAGATACCAAGAGAAGAGTGTATGCACTACCCGAACCCTGGATTGAACTTAAAATTACTGTTTAAGTGAAATCCCGAACGAATGATTTAATCTATTAGGCTATAGTCCCGTGACATAGTGATTGTGGGTTCAATCCTTGAGCCGGATACCACAGATTTAAATCATGAGCGGGCAATAAGTGCGAAGTACTAAATAAAAAGTGGGCGAGATTTCCTGAGACAGGATCAATGGAACGAGAACAATTTATGGAATAAATAAAGGGTTCAGTTTGAAATTCCTTGAAGGTTTGCAAACGCCAGATGATGACCGGAGAGCAAAACGAATGAAAAGTTATGATAATAATAACAAAGATAAGGACAATAGTTCGAGTGTAAATAGTGTCAATAATCAACATGACAGTTCATGAAACAATGTCTTCCCATCAAGCGTTAATTACATAAGTGATTTTATTTAATCACTATCATTACAGAGGAGATTAGCTTTGCATTTCGATCAAAGCCTATCATAACAGCACTATTAATACATTTCAACATTTGTATTATAAATAGTTTATCTAATAACATGAATCAAGATATATATTAACAGCACACTTCTTTTTTTGTCTTTTTAGCACTTTCAACTGCTACTTCAAGTTTCTATAAACAGGATTCTAATATATGTTGTGTTCGTGCCACTAACATAATAATTACTGTAATTCGTTTTACGAAAAGACGTGCTTAATTTAAAAACAATAAAAAAAAAACGTTTTGCTCAAAGGTTATGTTCTATTTAATATTCGCAATTCTGTTCTCTGTGAGTTAAAGGCAATAATTTCTTGCAATAAATTTAATGATACTATAAGGAGAGACTTATTCACTGAAAGGAAAATCACACTGTCATAAATTCTAATGATAATCTGTGTGATTGGAATTCATCTGTCTTTTCAATTTTATAATCTCATTACTCAATCACTGCAAATGTGAATCTAAAGTTCAAGCAGATATTTTCAACTCAAGTTAGATAACTCAAAACTGACTGATTTCTCCAGGCAATCAAGCTCTGGTGTAAAAAAAAAATAGTTCGTCAGTAAATATAAAACAAACAAATAAATAAATAAATCGCACTAACTTGAAACGCAGGTTGACTCTCTTGGAAAATTTCTTTGTGATAATTTATAGAATCATTTTGACAAGTTTGCTCATGATATGTCTTTTTTTGTTTTGTTTTGTTTTTTGTTTTTCTTTCTCCATCGACATTTATTCCAACGAGGACTGAAATATGTTTTCTAGGCGAAATAAAATTATTAAAAAAATAAAAATAAAAAACAAAACAAAACACACACGCACAAAAAAAAACTCTATTAAAAGTACGTGTCTCCAAAGAATGTTAAATTATTAAAATCATTTTCATGTTGAATGTTTCTATTGTCTTTAATTTTCTTCCCCTAGATATTGGAAATTAGCTCATCTCATATTGGAATATCGATGCAAATCAAACATCCATTGCTCAATTTAAAAATATGCGGGAAATAAAAGTAAAAATGCAAATGAAATTTCGCAATTAAAAAAAAAATAAATAAATAAATTCAAATAAACCAGCATATGCGCATGCGCGTGCAATCACACTTGTATATTCCTTTCTGTTAGTTCGGCACTTAGAATGTATCAATTTAATTAGTTGTTCTATCAATATAATTATAGAATTATTTCTGCGAAAACTTGTCTTCTAAATTACAAGAATCCATGTCAATATTTTATTAGACGAGACTAAATGTATTTATTCTCTATAGGATTCCTTGTAAATTATGTATTTTGATAAAAAAAATACTTGTTCCATGCAATTTAATTTAAATGACTCTCCCAACATTTTTCGGATGGGTTATTTCAGACTGTCGTGTTTATTGAAATAGAAAATATTTAAAACCTCTCATCATGAGTTTCATGAGGAAAGCAACAGTCCTTTGAAAAGGTGATTAAAAGGCTTGATGAAGGCAAGACAAGAAAGATCAGTAAAGAAGAGCAAAAGAATCAATAGAGAATGCAATGCCTACATAAAGAGAGACGCGGAGAGTAACGAAATGGAGGCGTGAGTTGGGCTAGAAACTGACGTATAGCTTGAAAAGCAAGCGAATAGAAACAGATTGAAATTAATATGAACACATAGGATGGAAGAGAAAAATGGCAAACAAAAAAACAACAATAAAAAAGTGTATAAACAGTGGAAGAGATTAAGGAGATTTGGAGAAGAAAGAAAGATAAACGAAAAAATGAAAGAAAAAAGTTAGGAAGATAAAAAAAAAGAATGAAAGAAACGAATGTAAGAAAAAAAAGAAAGAAAGCAAGAAGGAAGTTTAGAATGAAATATAGAGATAAAAAAGAAAGACGAGTCAAAAAGAGACGTAAGGATATATTAAAGA